AGGAAGTGTCAGGAACCTTAGCAATCAAATCTTTAAGCTGAGTGGGAATCTGTACAAAGCTGATCCGAATAGTGTTTCTACGCATAGATGCCATGATCTGTAAAACAGAACAAAGATGAATCCCATTAGTCTTTGAAATGGTTAGTCCAATGCAATATTCATGCAATGTCATGATGCATGATGTCATGATAGAAAACACACCACAAGTATTCACAAATAGCAAACATGGTAAGGGCACACAAGTCACACAGTAGCCCTTAGATTTTAGGCTGGCAAGGAGTTTAGGTACTACCCTCTTTCAATTCAGTTGGTTCACCCTGTCCTAGAAATAGTAATCGATCTCTAGAGGATCTCAATATCACTGACCACCCTCGATCGGTCATAATTCCAGTTTAGCAACCTTTTCTTGCGGCCGGAATCATCGCGAGAGTTTGGTCTCAATGAGTGTAGCATACTGCTACTGTTCTATGGCCAAGTTGGTCAATTATAGGTTCTAAGGTCAGTTGGTGCTTAATGACCCCTTAGCAGACCCATATTCTCGTCGTTGCGCCATAAGGGATATCGGTACAAACTAAAGTGCCACACCAACGTAGCTACTGCTTCAACCGTACCGGTCTATGCTGTAGAGTTCCCTCACAGTCTATTGCTACTTACCTAAAGGGTGTCCCCTAGATCCGAGTTAGGATCTATAGTAACTCTGACTCAAACCCGCAAAAATAAAGCAAACAGATCAAACAATTGAAAACATATGAACTAATCCTAAGGTACACCCCACTTATTAAGTCTCCCCAGCAGAGTCGCCAATTCTGTGATACGGTGGGAAGAACTAACTGTTTTTTGGAATGCTGGTTTGCGTTTTGCGTTTTTGTTTGCAAAATGTTGCGGTAAGCAAGAGTCGCCACCGACTTTTATTTTATCCAACAAGGAAAGGAAAAAAGCACAGAAAACTTCCTTTTTTGAGATATTTCTGAGTACGGGGGGTAGATTATAGAAAGGGAAGGTATTAGCACCCTTTCTATCCGTAGTTATCTACGGGCTCTTAGGTACTTGCTCATTGTTTTCAAAATTGTTTTCTTTGTGTTTGTGGGTTTGAAAAAGTTTTTGTTTTAACTTCGATTTAACTCTTGCTTCTGTCCTCAAGAGTGTAATGAAGTATTTTTGAAAACTTGTTTGTAAAAGTGTAAGTATGAAAAAGTTTTGTTTTGGATGAGCAAGTATCTAAGAGCTAATCTACCTACTCGAAAAAGGAATCGTTCTATACTAATTTCCTTTAGACAATTCTATCCCACTATTAGTGAGTAGGTAGCACCGTCGTTGGAGTTTGAGGGTCAATTCGAAAGAGGGACATACGGTCACTAAGGCAATGTTAGGACGCCTTAGCGGTAACCCTAATGTCTTAGATCATTTGTTTGAGATAACAATATCCGAGGCAACCATTTCGAGGCGACTATGATCTTTTAGATAAGAGGACGACCTCTAAAACGACCTATACTCAATGACCGTGTACGAAGGCAACCAAGTGGGAGTGTACCCTAGGAGTGCGCATGTACGAGTGTGTTGATTTCAGTTATTTTTATCTTTGCACATGTTTAGGGTGATCTAACCGTTTTAAGATTAAGCATTCATTCTTGTCATGCAAACCCTATTATCAAACATCTAGTAGTTGTATAATTTGCAGAATTAAAATGCGGAAATTTAACTAACTATTACAAGGCGTCGGGTATTTACATCGCCAAAAGCAACCCTTTGAAAATAAAATAAAGCGGTAAAAATAATAAATGTCCTATTTAAAACTATTACAAGCCGGGAGCAGATACATCAATAATTAAATAAGGAAAAATAAATCGCGCGAGTGAAATTAAATCGAATGCGAAATTTAGGGTTTTAACCCTTTTAAAAGAAAAATGTTTTTGTTGTTTTTTATTTTAAGGAAAGAAATTAAGTCCTAAATTAAATACTAAATTAGAAATTAAATAAGTTAATTAATGAAAAATAATTAATGACATATTTTTGGATTTTTGATTATAAAAATAATTAAACTAAAGTTAAAACCTAATTAATTCTAATTGATTTTATTTATTTACAAAATAAATTAAAGTTATTCTAGAATTAAAAACCTAATTGATTAGTTAATATTTATTAACAAAAATAAAGTTTTTGAATTTTAATTGGGGTAAAAATATTTTTTGGTGATTTTTGATAAAAAAAGAAAATTAATTTGTTGGTTACTAAACTAATTAAACAAAATAAAGTAATTAAAATAAATAAGCAAAATATAAGAGAAAGAGTGAAAATGGGCCTGGTTGGAGGGTGTAGAAAGCAATTTTGCTGGCCCATTTGACTTTTCTGATCCAGTGCACAAGCGTTTGACCTGCCTATGGTGCTCCTTCAATATTTGACCACCAGATCTGGCCATCTGGCACGCTGAAGAGTGAGGGAGTATGATGGTCCCTTGGCATGCGCGTACACTAGATTACCTGAAAAATAACAAGAAAATGCAAATTGCTGGAGGCAGGGATCGAACCCCTGACCTCCAGCCTTGGGATGCCTTAAGGCTTACGTGGCTACCACCAGACCATGTTGCTTTATTTGTTATTATAACACAATGCAATAATAATATGTGAAAACAAAATATATGGCCAGAAAAAAGAAAAGCGCGCACGTTGTTCGAATGGGCAAATGGATGGATGTCAACTCATCATCCCTGTCCTCTAAATCCTGCAACTTTTACCTGCGGATTTTTATCTGCAGCTAAAAGCGTAGCTTCACTCTAAATCCTTCCCCAGACAATATATATGAGTTCTAGGACCATGGTTTGATTCGTCATCTTCTTCTGATCACAACCATGTCCATCATGAAGACCAATTGTACCTGAAACGAAAAACCCCAAAAACTCCAAGAAACCCTAACTATGGTGGATCACAACATAGGTCAGATAAACGAAATCAAGTAATACCAAAAGCTTGCAAATGATGTGGTGAATCAAAATATGCAATTATTTTTTGTTATAGATGCAAGAATAGTATAAATCGAATTCAAGAATAGGGCAGATTCGTGAGGGACTTACAGCGCGTGTGAGGGTCTGAAAATGCCTGGTTTTGATTGGTTTCGCTTGTGGAGATGGCCAGGAAGAGATTGAGATAATTGCCAAGCCTTGGAATTGACTCTAGGATTGATTTCGAAGTCACACTTTTTCTTGATTTTTTCCAATTTGGTTCTTCCTCTAGAACTGATCTCCAACCCCCATTCTTGTCTGCCTCGCTTTCTTATGTATTGTACAATACATTAGGTTAGAATTTGTTGTCCAAATCTTCCAGTTTACCCCAAACCTAAACCTAGAGCTTAATATCCTTGTGAACAAGGTGGATGAAAGGTGCCTAACACCTTCCTTTCTTCTAATTGAGTCAGTAACCTAGAATCTCTATCTGCAAATTAGGGTTTCCTATTATATTCCCGTCCCTAGGATAAAAACTAATAGTGGCGACTCTTGATTTAAAAACCATTCGCGACATCGTTTAAGATCATTGTTCCTTCTCTGCTTCTCTGTTCCTCCTCTCTTCTCGTGTTCCTCATCTTCTCTTGTCTCCTCTGATTTTGTTTTGCATGTTTACCTAATCTATATTTTGTTTTGTAGTTTTGATTTTTTTTTTGAGGTACCAACAAAAGCTTCCTGTTGTCGATTACCATTGGAGTTACCTGTGCTAATACGGTAGGGTTTAATTTTTACCCGTATTATTAGATTTTGTTATGGTGATTTGAAACTGAGTGGTTTGAAACTGAGTTTTTTAGTAACTAGGGTTGAAACTGATTTGGAATTGAGGTTGAGAAAGTATGTTAGTAACTTATTCAAGTTAACTAATGTGAAACTGATCTTAAATTGATTTTCTGTTTGCACAGTGTGATTTGATGCATGTTTGCTGATGTGAACTGATGCTTATGTGTAGATCCGATGTTTAAATTATGAACTTGTTGTATTTATGTTGGTTAGAACTGATGTTTATGAGAGAGCATAAAAAACTAATCCCATATTAAAAACATCAATATCTTTTGTATGTTGTCTTGTAATAACTTTTTCTTATTTCTTCTCATATTTGATCTTTAATTGTTGCCTTGACAAGCTCACGATAATTTGTTTTGTTCCTCCAAAGCCAGCGTTTAGTTAAGAGTATTAGTTTTAACCATGTAAGTGCATGATTAGTAAATTTAATTTTTCAAATTCGTACTGATTATAACTCTGCTATACACATTCATTTTGAGGAGTAAAAAAGTTAATTTTCTAATATCTAATGGTTGATGGTTGGTAGCTTTAGAAATTATAGTTGGAGGTAATCAGTAACACAAACTTTGGTATTGTAGTTTGTAGTATCTCGTTATTTTGAGCGCTATTGTGAATCTTGATTTATAGCTTAGTATTCTATTAGTATCCCTCTGTTATGGTAAATTGAGAATCTCAATTCAGAAAATTAGAAATCCTAGGATGCAGTTCTAAGTAGAGGTATATTACTGCACATATCACTGTTTAATTGAATTGCAGTAATGATATGAAGAAATAATTTTGGTTTGTAGATGGAGATAATCTGAGGATTCTTTTTTCCATATTTGCATAGTTTTGAAATTTTGTACTTCTAGCCTAAAAAGATGTTAAGAGTGGGAAGCTGGGAGCTTTTGGGCAGTTCATGTTATTTTGTGTGATATTTTATGTGATATTTTGTTATATCTTTTGTGTTTATGTGTTAGATCAAATATGATTGAACTTATATTTTGTTGCATCTCTTGAAAATAAAAAACTACTCCCATATGATAGAACATGTTTTGGTTCTGCTTTGAATTTGTTATGTGTTGTATGTTTCAAATCTCCTATGTTCCTCGATCAATGTCTCCTCCTATTCTCCGCTTCTCCAAAGATATTTGTTTTGTATATGTTCATGTATGTGTTATGTATGCATGCAGTTTTGAAACTGTTCTGTGTTGTGTGTTTCAAATATTTAGATTATAAAGTGATGGACAAAGAGTGGAATAAATTTCCAAGGTTTAGTCAAGAGTACATCAACGGTGTTACTCAATTTTTAGACTTTTCCTACACTAATGGAAGACCTCAAGAAGATGAGCATTTATGCCCTTGTGCCAAGTGCAAAAAATTGTATTGGAAAACAAGAGATAATATTAAGGATCACTTAATAGCCAAATGTTTTCTAAAAGGTTATGACATATGGTTGCACCATGGGAGCAACTACAAAGGTATATGGAAATTGGTGATGAGATGGAAGATCAAGAGGAATCACATGACAGTATTCCTGGCTTATTGCATGACATACATATAGATAGGGAAAAAGCACATGGAGTTCATGAAGGTCCCAATGACGATGCTAGAAAGTTTTATAATTTGATTAAAGAGGCGGAACAAGAATTATACCCTGGATGAAAAGACTTCTCTACTCTATCATTCATGATTCGACTCTACTTGTTAAAATATCTTCACGGCTGGAGCAATACCTCATTTGCTTCCCTCTTAGAATTATTGAAAGAAGCAATGCCTAATGTAAACATTCATGTATCATTTTATAAGACAAAAACCATGATAAGTGGTTTAGGCCTTGATTATAAAAAGATCCATGCATGCCCAAAAGATTGCATGCTATTTTGGAAAGAGCATGAAAATGACAATTCTTGCACTATTTGTGAAGCTTCACGGTGGAAAGAAAATGCTCCAATTAAAGGATGTGAGACAGAGCAATCTAAAAATTATTATAGAGTTCCTGCAAAAAATTGGAGGCACTTTTCGTTGATTCCTAGACTACAAAGGTTGTTCATGTGTTCAAAGACAGCCGAGTCAATGAGATGGCATGAAGAAGAGCGCTCAAAGGATGGGAAATTGAGGCATCCTGCTGATGGTAAAGCGTGGAAGGACTTTGACGAGCTCCATCTAGATTTTTCTCGTGAGTCCCGCAATGTAAGACTTGTCTTAACGAGTCACGGGTTTAATCCATTTAGGACAATGAGCTTATCTCATAGTACATGGCATGTCTTGATGATGGTATACAACACACCACCTTGGCTGTCCATGAAACCTGAATATACAATGTTGTCATTATTGATTCCTGGACCAATATCTCCAAGAAACGATATTGATGTTTACCTCCAGCCACTGATAGAGGAGCTAAAGTAATTATAGGAATCTGGCATAGAGACATATGATTCTTCAATAAATCAAACATTTTGAATGCGTGCAGCTCTTTTGTGGATAATTAGTGACTACGCTGCTTATGCTATGTTGTCGGGTTGGAGCACCAAAGGAAAATTGGCGTGTGCATATTGTAAATCTGACACCAATTCGTTCTACCTCAAACACAGTCATAAGCTGTGTTATATGGACCACCGTATCTTTTTACCAAGAACTCATTCTTGGAGAGATGATGTCAAATCATTTAATGGAGAAGAAGAACATATGATTGCACTATCCACGTTAAAAGGGGAAGAAATCTTTGAAATCTTAAAAGATTTCAATAATGAGTTATACTACTTAATGGAGAAGAAGAACAAAGTGTTAATTCAAATACTAACAAACAGAAGTAGACCAATGCCAAAAGTCAAAGTAAAGAGTTTGGTGAATGGTTTAAAACTCGTGCCCAGAAAGATGATGTGTCATTACAACTTGAAAAACTTTCTAGAGGTCCTAATTTTGTTGCAAAGAGGTATCCAAGTTACATCATTAATGGATATAGGTTCCATACTATGAAACGAGATACAAATCGCAAAACTCAAAATTCTGGTGTACCTTTAGTTTCACTATCTTCAAGTTTTGCTAGCTCCAAGGATGGAAATCCTAGGACAAAACTTATCACTTATTATGGAGAAATTGTTGATATAATTGAGTTATACTACTATGGCAACTTCAACTTTGTGTTGTTTAAATGTGATTGGTTTGAGGTTGAAAAAGACAGACACGGACTTACTTTTGTGTGTTTCAATAAGAAAATTTATTAGAATGATCAGTTTGTGCTACCTTCTCAGGTTCATCAATTTTGCTATGTCCAAGACCCTTTTGATCCAAACAGGCATTATGCTCTGCAAACAGTTATGCAAGATTTATTTAACATTTGTAACCCTTCAAACTTACAAGCTGAAACACCTTCTCACCAAGATAATAATGATGGTAATGGTGAACTAAATTGGGTTAAGGAAGACATACCTGCAACAGTAACTGAAACACCTTCTCGTGAAATAAAAGAAGCAGAAAGTGATAAGAGGATTCTGATTATGATGATACTCTATTTGATTTCATGGACTGATGTATAGAGTGTTAATTCTGTATTTAGCTATTTAAATTTGATGCATACTATCGGTTAAAATGCTACATTTTTTATTTTGATTAACTTATTCCTAATGTTATGTTTTTTTCAATGTTAACAGAAAATCAAGAAGGTAACAAACTTACAAAAGAAGACGAATGCAGCACAAAGGGGTGAACAAGTTATGGCCAATTTTTGGTTGCCTCTATTTAGATCTAGTGCTAAATTGGCTAAGAAGTTTGATATAAAATGTGAGATGGTAAATAGTAACAACCAATTTATGGCCTCTATTTGTGCCTGCATCTGGGGAACTAATCAAGCTATCTAACTTTGAAATTATTGGTCCTGCAATTGATAGTTCGAACAATGTGTTGTACCCAACCAAAAAGAGGACAACAACACCAAGAAAAATAGGGGCTCAAGTTGCTGATGCAAGGACCAGGCAACAACCTTCTAGAAAAATAGGGGTTGAAGTTCCTGATTCAAGGACCAGGCAGTAACCTTCCATAAAAATATGGGCTAAAGTTGTTGATTCAAGGACCAGGCAACAACCTCCCAGAAAAATAGGGGTTGAAGTTGCTGATTCAATGACCAGGAAGCAACCTACCAGAAAACTAGGGGCTGGAGTTGTTGATTCAAGGTAAAAACAATGTTCAAGTGCAAACCAACAATCTTCAAGTGCAAAGAAGCAACCTTCAAGTTCAAAGCAACAACTTTCAAGTGCAAACCATCAACTTAAGGAGAAACAGATGGTTGACACTGCTGATTCAAGGTTAAAGCAGATTCCTATGAAAAGGGCAGTGATGGAAGATAATGGAAATTCAAGGACAGAGCAAGAAAGTGCCTTGAAGAAGACAAAAATAATCCTAATGTGTAGATCAAATTCAGTTGAATAATTCCTCAAAGAAAATGGGGAAAATGGTGAAGACGAGGATGAAGGTGAAAAAGTCGAGGAAGAAGAAAATATAACGGGTGAAGAAGAAAACACTGAGAAAATTGAAAGTGAAACAATTGAAGGTAGTAAACTTTATTTGTGTCATGCATTATTCTTAATTATTGTTTCATTCAAATTTATATCCCATTTTAATAGTTTATCTAACACAGGGACAAGTAAGAAAAGGACACGTAGACCAACACAATGTTTGAAAATCCATGCTAGAAAGAGTGAGGATCGCGAAGAGGTGGTCTTAGATGATGATGGAGAGCCTATTGGACCCAATGCTTGAACCATGTCAGATTTGAGTTGTTTCCTTGGCACTGTCACGAGGAATTCAGACTTTTGTCCCTTAGTTTATACTAACTTCAAAGCTTTGAAGAATGCTAACAAAGATCGTATATGGGAATTTGTTACTGTATGATCAAAATAATTTTTTCTCATTTTGTTACTTGTGTCCCTTAATTATTTACCTGTATCTAATTTCCTTCTTTGTTGTAGGATAAATTCATTATCTTTGATAATGGAACTAAAGTAGTTTTCTCTCGCATAAATGATGCTTGGAGGCGTTACAAGAAAGATATCAAAAAGAGTTGCTTTTTAAAGTACACTACTATGAGTGAAAGATTGAAACATCGTCCCCAGACCGTATAACATTTAAAGTACACTACTATGAATTACTTACAAGCTTGATATTTTATTGTATAACATTTAATGTTCCATAATGTAGACAATTATAAAAGTAAATGTTGTGAACAGAGCTAAGCAAAAGTACATGCATCGTATGGGACCAACAAACCTTGCAAGGATTTATGCAAAATTGGAAGGGTGTTTATACATTCTTCAATTTATAATTCTTTGTTGGTTGAGTGATTCATAATTGTCTGTTTAATATCAACCAATGTAGCGTGCAAAGAAAGAGGATGGAAAGGAAGTTACCCATGTAGAGATGTTCATTGAGACTCGACAAAATCGAAAAAGAAAAAAGTGGATGAGGAAACACAAACTGCAATTGCAAGTTTTCTATTTTATTGAAGGATTTGGTTACTAAGAATTGTTTGTTAAATATATGGATATAATCTATCAAGTACACATAGCATACAACCTTACCTTCTTTAATAAATTATATTTGTTTTCAGTAGTGAATTTTTCTTTTGATCTTGTACAAGCTGTTGTTGAAGCTTGTGTTTCTTACAATAGTGTTGTTTTTGTTCTGTGTTTCTATTATCATGCTTATTTATTTGTTTGATGTGAGACATTTGAATGAAACTGTGAATTGTCAGTTCCAATTTTGTTGTTCTAAGTTGTGAATATTTTTTAATTAGGATAAGCTTCAAGATTCAGTTAAGAACTCAACTGAATCTGAGACATTTAAGTCATTGTTTGGGAAAGAAAATATGGTCGAGTTCATTGCTAAGGAAGAACAACGACACCAACCATGCTTAAAAGAAATGAAGAAATTTGGGTTATTAAAAACAACATAGTGATGAAGTGGCTGGCATGAAGAGGGAGATGGATGGTATAAAGGAACTTTTTAAGACCATGATGAAGCAACAACACCCACATATGAGTGACAAGGAGATCTCTAATATGATGGCAACTTCTTTGGGCAATTCTAATAGTACTAGTACTGCTCCGGATGCTCCACATTCGTCTGCATCAACTCATATTCCTCATTGTGAAGAGGTATATAATCTAAGCTTGGATTACACTCAACACTTGAATTATATATTATCCTAAAAACTGTCTGCAGCAATTCAAGTAAATAATTATATATTATCTTTGTTTGTCTCTTCTCGCCTCCAAATGAACCACATTTCTACAAATGATATATGATTTCAAAATGCATTAAAATCTCCTAAAACACATTTAAATTTCTAAAATTGCTTATATTAATTTATGTATCACGTTCCTTGCAGAATGGAGACGAAGAAGTGTGTCATCAAGATATGGAAGAAGAAGAAGAAGAAGGAGGAGATGATCAAGAAGAAGAATATTATGATGCATGAGTTTAATTAATAGTAGTTGTGTTTATTATCATCTATCTCTTAGAACTTTTGTTTTGAATTTGGGATGTATCAAGTTCGGAGCCCAATTTGGTTGTGTTTAAGAATGATAATATCAAAACTTATATATATTTTTGTGACTTATTAGTCGGTAGCGTCACTTGATGTAAAGACTTACTTATTTCTTAATAAA